AATCAATGTTTATCAACACAAATGTGGCACATGCGCAGCGCGACGACTACCGCGCTTTAACCGCCGCAACAACTAGTCTGGTTGAGAAAATTAGTACAGTGGGGATAAGTCATGACGGTATTAAACAGTAACTCCGCGGACAGGTTGTAATGTTACAACTCAACTGGACATTCGCGTAGTTTCGCTTACGACTCCAGTCTTGAGGTATTAATTTATCGCTGTCGATACCTAGAAAGACATTAATCTCGATGTTCCATCTAAACAACGAAAGGGTAGACAATTTCTCCCACTATTTCTGCTAAATTTGCTACAAATCAAAATGAGTATGGTCACAACTTCATTGATTGAACGGGGGCTGTTGTCGTTGAAAGTAACTTACAAACAAAGGCCAGTTCCACGGTGACGTATCGTTTGTAATGAGAAACTAATGCAGTCAACGAAATTCTTCAACAATTCGAGCCACCCAGTCACTCAATTTAGCGATACTGTTAATTTTCCAGCCCATGAAGTACTGAAAGCTAGGTCAATTACCGGCTGTGCAGGAATTCTTGTTTTCGTGTTACAAATTTATTTTCTTTGCAATTTTTCCAGATTGCGGAGCAGAGCCAGACGAGCAATGTTGACATGCCCATTTGCGTTCGGTGATACTCTATTGTACGAATATCATATTCAGTTTACCTTGCAGGCTGTGGCATGAATTAAGCAGATAAACACTAAAGTAGATTGGTCTGTCAGGGTCAACGATACCTTTAGTAGAACTACTGCATGTTGCACAGTTAATTCATGTTCCATTTACCACAGTGCTTTTTCATAGTAATCGAATACGAGTTATGCGGTACAGAAATGAGTACTTGGCTAAAATTGCACTGGCATAAAAGGACGCGCAAGGATTTCCCACAATGGTCGTGAAGTTTGTAATAACGTTAATGCCATGTTCCATTGAACTTGTTTTTCAACTGTGTAGCACGGCAGGACGTTCCTGGCAACTTGCATTAGCAATACAAAAGTAAAGGCCAACCGAGTGTTAACAAGCAGTGACTGACTAACACTTTTATATCAAATATAATTGTTGATAAGTTTGACTTTTATTTACAGAAATACGCATATCAGGGTTTCGCAAGTAACAGTTTACGTGATAGATATATGACTGGAATAACAATGGCTCTCCATGTACATACGAGTGCACAAACAAACTTTCGGCAAATGAAGATTCCTAAACATTACTTAGTTGAAGAAAGGGTATATCATTGGTCTATTTGAATAACCGTCATTTCCTCTACTATCGGGTTTACCCACTTGGCTTGGCCTGGGGAAAATACTCCAAAACATAGTAGTAGATTTGTCAGTACCGCGCGACCTCGAAGGAGTTCCTAGTATTAATGAATTGATTAATAAAGAAGATTTTTTTCTTTTCTTAAATATTCGAGTAGACGAAATCAAAAGTATCGACCCAATGGAGCAGTTGTTTAAATTGGATATTATGGACGCGTTCAAACAGATCCTAATTTATCCATTCATTTTGAATCTTCAAGGGGAAACATGGTGAACAAATGTAACTTTTACACTATATTGATGTTTGGTTTTTGATCAAGCTCCAAACTGTTTGACATACTAGCTCAGTCAGTGTGCTGGTTCATAGTCCATCCATCTTGATGACTTTTGAAAGTCACCAGAATCAGCACTGCATACAATAGCAGCTACGATATCACTATTTAGGTCGTTAAATGCATCAGCTTCAAATAAAACTACTGGGCAGACATACGTGTTAGAATTTGTAGGTATTACACTTAATTCCCAAACCATGGAAGAATCTCTGCCTTGCAATAAAATAACAAGATTGTGAATTTCATCGAAATGTGTTCAGGTGCCAAGTCCATTACTAAACTGTTGTGGGACACCTCATCAGTGATTCAGGCTAGCATTCAAAACACTTGGTCACCCGACATTTACAATCGGTGTATAACAATTTCGCGTACAGCTAGGAATGTCTTAACATTGTGCATCTTCCATTCATTAGGGTTGCCAATTATCTGTATGTATGGTAGTAGCATATTAATCATATGCAATCACTTCATTTTTAGGGTCATTCAGCAATTAATATTGCCGAATATTTGGGTACTTAGCTCAGTAATGAGCTCAACAATCCCAAAATACACAAACAACCGGTCGGACAAGTTATCAATCACCTTTTGTGGTAGCAGCCATACATCAGAATTTGTAACTCTATCGCAGTCATGGCTTCTGCATTTCAGCTTCTACTGCAATTTATTTGACTACAATTACATGAGATAGAATGTGTACACTCCACTACATACTATAACTAGAGACAACTTCCATTATTTGGACACCACAGTTATATCTGCACTGAACTCTATGGCAACAATTGTATGGGGTATGCGTGTAACCTCCGCTCAATACTATCGCCATATAATTTAATCTTGGTTAATCATCGGGCAGTGGAGGTACTTTGTTTTATGTTATTTAGATCGAATTGAAAATGGCTATTTTCTTTTTACAATGCTATTCTAAATGTACATGTCTGACATGTATGCATCTTACATCATTTCGTACATATGCACATTTATGTATTTGGTGATCAGATTTAAGATTGCCAAAAGAAGGCAATTTTACTGGTAAACAATCATTTCAGTGACAATGCTTTCTGATTTCTAATTATTTCATAGGTATTTTTGTGCAAGACATCAGCCAAATTTGACACAAGCACAACATACAATATAACATGTACATCAAATAGCACCCATGGTTCATTAAAAAGGGTTGTTTTTAAAAGCCATTCGTGTGTGTGTGTACATTTATCGTTTTGAAGTTCAACAAATAATATAGTTGGTTTCATGATAATTGAATGGTCAAATATGCAAAACAGCAATGTGGATATGAAGTAAGCACTACATAAAAAATGTGTACATTTTGTTTTATAACAGACTTCCTGATCATGTGAGTTTTGAGGAGGGCGCTCTTTTAGAGCCATTGTCTGTTGGTGTTCATGCATGCAGACGTTCAGGGGTCACCCTGGGGAGTAAATTACTTGTGTGTGGGGCTGGTGAGTTCATAAATTGTACTGCAACTTAGTCTAGCTTGAAATTGGCTTTAGTTGCCATGTCATATAAAGTTTCAAATAGAGAAATATTTAGAAAACCACTATTTCAATTAACTATTACAAGTTGTTATACAATATGAGTTGTTAGCTTGTGTTGTGCATTTGTTTCAAAAAGTAATTATGTAATAGTACTTAGTACATCTCTAATTGCAAATAATATGTGGAAATATTTCTCTAAAAAGCAATAGAAAGGTTCAGAAAAATCAATCATAATCTGTAACCACATATTTGATGATAATATTTTGTATTAGGTCCAATTGGTCTGGTGAGTTTACTGACTGCTAAAGCCATGGGTGCAGCTCAGGTCATTATCACAGGTAGGCATATACCACCATACCAATGCCATATGTGTATAATCTTCCTTTTAGATAGGATTTAGCTACTGTAAGATTGTTGTGGGAATCAGGTTTTCAATGTGCATTAATAAATGTTTTATAATACCAGGTGTTGAATAAGTATAATTAGTTTAAATAGTTAATCTACTTTTCAATGGTTGTTCAACTTGATTTCAATGACTACTACTGGTACTACTGTTTCTGAATAATCGCAATCCATGTGGAATATACACACAAAGAGCATGATAATTCTTCACAAATTCACCTACATATATATCTGTAACCAAAGTTATAGTTGGTTCAAGTAAACGTGAATACTACACTTATGATTTGTATCCTGTCTGATTAAAGATAATTTCAACTACAGTAACAACATTTTGTCCAATATTACAATATCAAAACTGATCAGACAGTTTTGCGTGGCTCAATTCGTGGATTATGATTTTCAACAACTTTTGAATAACAGTTTTGAAAAACAGACACGTTTAAAAAATACGAAATCACGTTGAAATTTAGAAGTGATAAAATTTAATAAGTAAAACTCAGGGAGTACTAAATCATTAAATTGCATACTTGGTACATCATTTTCATCAAAACAATCATTTTACGATGTTTCATAGCAAAACAAAAACACAGAATATGGGTATGATTAAGTTAGAGAAAAGACTTTCAATTTATGTGTGAATAGGTAAAATACAATTATCAACACAATTATAATCACCTTTTTTAAAACACACTGTGCAGCAAAATCAACGTTTGTTCATTAATTAAAGCCTCAAAAATTGGAACTTAACTAAATGTTAGTGAAAAAAAAAATATTTTGTGATTGATCAAACTTGTAGAAGCAAATAAATTATTTATAATAAAATTACTTTTATCTTCATTTAAGTCATTATTTATATTGTATACACTGTAATAACAATTGTGACTGTTATTGTTTTATCCACATCATTAGATGGTTATGGACTTTCATATTACTCATATTTATTGAGACTTTAGCATTACTTGTCTCCAGACCCTACTATAAATTTACTGACTATAAGTTCATTAATTATTTTTAATGTCACATCATGATCTTATTCAAAATGACCGAATAGAGTGGCCATTTTTACTTTCGAATTCATCTAAATAAAGCATTTTGTCATTCCTGTACTGCATCTCAGTTGTGCATAGACGAAATTTGTTCAAACTTTGTACATGCATTGAACTCAATGGGTTCTGTTGTTTTTTTAAGATTCGAAAATATCAACTTACGGACATTTTGTATTCAACAAATCTCGTTTCTGATTGCACTCAAATTGTATTCATCATGCCAAGCTTATTCAAGTTTTGATTCAAAATGGCTTGCTCATTTCAATTTTGACTTACTAATGAACAAACCAAAACTACTTATTACATATTGGAGCTGTGGACTTTTGTTGAGCTGCAATTTGACCAGTAGTTGACATATTAACAATTATTCAAATGAGTTCCATTCTACGTTGTATATTTACCATTACACATATTTAAAATATAAATATTTGTAGATATAGACCAGGGCAGACTGGATGTGGGCAAGCAGATAGGAGCTGATTTTACAGTGTTAGCAGACAGCGAAGATGGTCGTGAAATGGCAAAGAAAATAGAAAGTACACTAGGTTGTATGCCAGACATCTCAATTGAATGCAGTGGTGTGCCATCTAGTATCCAGACTGGGATTTATGTAAGTGGCATTATTTTGGTGATACTGGTAATTTCAGCACTTTTATTCAATACTTCAAATTTTCGCTGTTGCTTTAAGATTCCCTTTTTTATATGTTAAGAGCTATAATGATAACTGAATTGTTTAGAGACCATTTTAACTGGTAGCATACTAGCCTGAACTGGCCTCAGGCTAGTTATAATCGGTCGGAGGACAATTTGTAGTTGCTGGTGGCTGTAAATATATATATATGTATATGCATGGTTTTAATTATGTATTTCTAGGCAACAAGATCTGGTGGGGTGTTTGCTCTTGTTGGTTTAGGACCATCAGATGTGACTTTACCAATAGTGAATGCAGCTGTGCGAGAGGTCGATATCATAGGAATCTTAAGATATGCAAATTGGTGAGTCAGCTTTGCTGATTACTCAATGACGATTAATTATTGTTTTGTTCTTTATAGCTTCATTTTTGCTAACATTTTTGAATATTTTAATACATTATGGTACCTAATGAATAAACATGTGGTAAAATAATTAGAGGATATAAACAGTAAGCTCGGGTATTTGGTAGTGGATATAAAACTCCTCTGCAAGAAATTAGCCTATTTTTTGCGGGAATAATGACCTGGTGTAAAACAGTTCATTCAGTTTTGGGCAGGATCACAGGCCTTCTAGCGCCAAATGTAAGACCTTGCTTCATCCAATCAGATGACTAAATACAGATTAACCATGTTAATAGGATATATGTGCTAGGCAATTTATACTGTGACATTACCACATTTATTCATTTGGTAATTTTGTCCCAGTTTTATATATTAAAAATAACAATACATGCAATTTGTGCCCTTTAGGGTGACTAACTGATGAAATATCACTGTTGAAACACAATCAAAACTGTAATAACTGTAATTATTAAAAGGTCATACCTAAAAGATAAAACCTAGCAGCCAGACCAATCAGAAAGCAGTTTGTTGACAGGTTTATTCAATGTATTAAGCCTTGTTTATATGCTTTGATTCAACTGAAACTTAACCTTATAACTTGCAAGTTCAGTACAGAATGGTAGCACAAAGATCAATCTCTTTTCTGCCAAGCCGTCAATAAAAATCATTATCTGACAGGATTTTTTTTGAAGCTGAGTATTGTCAAAGTTGTCGCGTCAATACGATCTCTCTTCTGCTTAAAAATCAGATTTTGATGGTAAACTAGGTAAAACTTAGTGTGGAGTCCACCCATTTTGAGTGCCCTTCACGGTGCACTCAAGAATAGACCCAAACTCGTGTTTTCCTTACCATAACTTAAATTCACTTCTGACTTGGGTAAAATATAAATGACCATAAAAATTCATGTTTTTTAGCTTTCCAACTGCATTGGCAATGATTGCATCTGGTAAGGTGGATGTCAAGCCTCTGGTAACTCATCGGTTCACACTCGCTAAATCATTAGATGCCTTTGAAACTGCAAGAACTGGTGCAGGGGGAGCCATCAAAGTCATGATCAAGGTGGCAGATAAATAATGACTATAGTTTGAGGATGCTATGTAAATTTGTTGATGGGATTTTCAATCTCCAATATGGTCAATTGAGTACCTGCTTCCTTAATTCTGTTTTTCGTTTATACTAATACTGAATGGGCCACAGCTGGTAAATATAGAATAAATTTATCTTGGATGATATCATCGTTTGCACTTTGAATTCATACGTAAACATGAATTAACAGAAGTAAGACAATGTGTTAATGCATGACAAGTTAATACAATAAAAGATACTTCTATCAAGCTTAGTTATCGTCTTGACAGTTTTTTGTAGTTGAACATTTTCATAGCTCCCATTTAAATTCGTTCATTCTATATGGATGGACACGCATACAGTAATGTGACCTTTAATTCAGATTGTATACACTTGTTTCAACTAAAAGGGGCTTTATATCGATTGTGATGCTGCAGTACTTGCCACAGTGTCAACATAGTAAAAGCATCCATCGCAACAGTAAATCTTTTTTGAATACAATCTCTGTATTTATTTTTAATTTTCTTCTACCTAAGGTAAGTCAAAGAAAAAAAATGAAATTTTCATCACTTGAGGACATTTTCCCCATTCTAGATGTACGTTGAGAGCGTAGGTCATGCACGTTGATAATAATAATTCATTGAATTTTTTTATTCAGTGCCTATGGTTGTGAATAATTTAAAATATAAATACCAACTCGTTGGGAATACATCGTTACATAACAGCTATATTCAACTTGACCAGAAAAAATTGTGTTTACCAAAATTATGTGGCATTGTTATGTTATGTTACCGTTAGGAGTTAGGCTGTTTTTGTTTTGTTTTTTATTTCCGTCACTGATCAAAATTTTGAGAGTTTACTAGTAATGGGCGAACCATTAGAAAGTGGAAAAACGGATCAATAACAGAAACAAATTCTTCACGAATAAATATTTTGAAAAAAATATTTCACATTATGGAGAATGAATACAGCAATGTTGACATGACCAGGACCGTGCTGTAAAAGGATGAAAGGAAAAGCATAGTTGTAGTTAGAGCTCCTAACGTTCAAATTAAACTTTTCTGGACCTAGTTGTTGATTGCAACCTTTACTCTTATCGTATTGCTATCGTTGCTACTTTTATCTATAAAATGAGGTCCGTGACACATTTGAGTAATGTATGATGGTGACCAACCATGACGGCACAAAATGTTGCATCCTAATTGTTGCATCCTGCGTAGTCGGGTTTTCTTCTCGGCAATAGTGCGGATGTCTATGTCTATGAGTAAACATGCACTTCTTTTGTTTTTATCTGTAAATAAATTGTCACAAATATCAGACATGTTTTTTTGGTAACAAATCATAAACTGAATTGGCAATACATTATCGAATTTAATCAAGTTTAAAGACTCCTGTCTCACATTACCATATTTCATTGTCTTGTATGCAATTTGGACTATATTTGCTGCATATTTGTTACGGGGAATTAGAATAAGTGTTTTTGTAGTAAAAAAACGGTCACGCTTTTCATGAAACTATTTTCCCTACTTAATTGTACTTTTCCAGCATAATATGCTTTGTGCTAGGTTTTGAAAGACGAGACATCGATTTTTTTTATTTTACTTTCTTTATTTTTTTTCAAACTTAAAGTGTTAGATACCAAAATGTACACAAGTAAGTGCGACAATGGAAATACACTGTAAATCTTTCCTGGTTTTCATTAAAAGACATCTTTTTATATGAAAACTCACTGATACGGGGATATAAGTGCGTCATCCAATTTTATACAAGCAGTATTAACAAAATTGAGTGAAAAGTCTGGGGACTCGTGGGTGAACATTATGGTATGTATGCCAAACAGACAATCACCAAGAGTGACGTAATTCAACGCATAATGAGATGGGTCATGACATTACCTTCAGGAAATAATTGTATGTCAAACACCCACCTAAGTACAACGAGAAATCGTGGTGAGTCAAGTACCTCGTCAAGATTCGTATTCGAGCAAATTTTAAAAAAGAAGTGAAAGACTATTTAATCCACTGTAATCATCCTTAGTCATATTCCAATATGTATATATAGAGGTATACAAACATGTATCGGTGTGTAAGCAAACCATTGTAAATAAGTTTTTTCTGTCTACTTGATTGCCCTTTTTAATAAATAGCTATTTAAAAATATATTTTGATGGGAAACAGACTAGACTAGCTCTGCATGAGCTAATTTCTGTTTCCCAGCCATAGATTAATATTATTATTATTTATCAATATTTATTAGTTATTATTTATTGTTGTATTGTTATTTTTTATGTAATCTATGGCAAATAAACATTATTATTATTATTATTAATATTGATATTTTCAATAATAAACAGCTGCTTTATTTTTCACATATTGTGCGAGTGTACATACCCTGTACCTGTCTTAGTTGAATAACCGATGGAATTAAACATGAACATCAATGATGGTGCAGCATCATACAAGAGTTAATTTCATGTCGATCTAATCATTAGATTCATTTTCTTTATAAGTAACAATATGGTATTACTACACATCTGTGAAAATTTACGTATAATTTTAACGAGCTCCTCTAGGTCTATACTAATACATAACCATTTAACTGTTATTTATTTTTAATTCTTTGCAAAATGTTGATATACCTTTCGTAAACGACGGTGTTTGAACACTATTGAACACTAGTATATGTTGCGCACGTTCATTCAACGATTGTGTTATACCATCGGAAGTGTGTGGACAGGTGGCATATTCGTTAAAGAAGCAACAACATCTTGGACCGAATGACTTTTTCAGTGTTTCTGAGAAAAAAAGGAGACCGGAAATTATCTTAAACAAACCTGAAGGTATGACGACGGATAGAAAAGTGAAAGATAAATGAAACAGAATAAATGTAGTGCATAAATGCAGATTAGAGATTGAGTGTGCGTCGGGTCGAATTTAATGATTTTTTATTTGTTCCACTATTCTTTCCATATCATAATGTTTACTTGTGAGTCTCCAGACTTTTCACTCAATTTTGTTAAAGTTGGATGTACTAGTCCATAAATGTATTTTTGTGTTTTTACAATGTGCCCAATTTTCATCAGAAAGTGATTTAATAACTACTCACAACACTTTTCCAAAAATTCTAAAACACTACTGTTTTGATAGAAAATACAGGTGTTTTTTTATATTATAATACATATGTTTTTAATTACAACAGTTTGCTTTCAATTAAAACGGTGTGTTTTAATGAAAAAACATGGGAGTGCTTGCACGATTTACAGTGTACTACAGGCGATGCGAGTTGGCGATGCCAAGGTAACATTTATTATATATATTACAATATATTGTTTTAATCCTCTGTGATTGCTACATCCCTGGGATAGGTGAAGCATTAATATGGACAGTTAATTTCACAAGTACTCGGTATATATTTTGTCATATAGAAAAACAGATGGCTGTATAACAACGATTTATTAGTTATTTTTCTGTCATTTTTATTCAGTTTAAAACATTCCGTGGCGTGGCTTACTCTACCGACGTTTCCAACTTCTATTATGACCAGAATATGATGCCTGTTGGTGATTGGCATCCACGCATGGAAGGCCTTGTTTACTATAGTAGTAAGTATGTTATATATTGTACGTCAATAATCCGGCAAAGCACTCCACTATCATTTGTAACAAAGCTTCCTATTGGTCGGTAAACTTTCTATAGCGCAACTACGTGACATACAAATTAGATATACAAATGAGTCAGTATCTCATTTAGAGAACATCGAATACCCAAGATGGAACTATTGCTTGTTCTGTTTTAATCTTATATTTATTTGAGTGAATGATATGCTGATTTACTGCAATAGTTATTAATACTATGTGCTGCTATTGCTGGATAATTACATTTTAAAACCATACATTTTATATTAGGTCGAGGTTGGGTACATGCCGATTGGACTGCCGTTCTTGCTAGACAGCTGAAGAAACACTATGGTAATATCACTCCTGCAAACACAATACGGGATCTCGTGTCTAACGTTCAGACTGGCGATACACATACTGCTATTTACGACCTTAAGAACTGAATAATGTATGAGGCAAATGGAAGAAAAGACGGCGCGTCTGGGGCCAATATGGCATTCGACAGGTAAAGCATGTGAACTCGAAAATAATTTGTCAATATAGCCTAATTCACTGTTTTTTAAGGATCTAGGAATAAAAGATTTCCTGTTTATGAAAGTGTATTATAAAAGTGCTGTTTACTTATTATATGAAATTCATAAATTGGGCTACTGCTTTTAATAGTTTAATTTAGTCATAATGTCCCATTTCTTTCAGACCGTTTGTTCGTATGGACATGAACACATTATTCGGTAGAACCAGGCCTACCGTGTGATGAGTTGTTCTCAATAGAAAACTTAATCTTATTTCAAATTTATTTTTATTTCACATTTTCTTGAACTAATTACGTACATTGTAATTACAAAGAGATGTGATTCATACGAGTTGTGTTCAATCCACCTCTGAAAAGTGCGCTATTTTATACCTTTTTCAGTCGAATTAAAACATTAATGTGTAATTTTCAGTACTGTTTCTTTTTTATATTTATATCCAAGCAAAAATATGTTTACAACTGAATACTCCTACTGCCGTTAATAATTGCTCAATATGGTCGATGATTCCACTGAATATAAGGATGATGCCATCGGGTACTGAATTTAAGAATACTATCGGGTAATAGTAGAAAGGTTCTATTGAGTAATATTATAATGATACGTCTTCTGGCCATATAAAAATGTTGCCAACAATTCCACTGGCCGGGATTCATTCACTAACGAATTCGACTTTGGAGGTCCTTGGTTAAGCTTCGCAGATGCTTTTGTTTGACCAGGCCTGCTGATATTCAAAACATGTTGCCACGGTGTAATGTAAAAGACGATACCAACGGGCAATATTATAATGATGCACTCGGGAAATACTACTTAAAACTATCTCAAAACACAAAATGTCACGTATAATAATAAGATATGACAACTCGTTCAGTAGATGCCATTTGTGGTGACCAATAGCAAAGGAAATATTATAATATTCAATATAATATTCGTTGAATAGATTCTAATTGGTGACAATGTTGGCTGACAACATAAACATTGCTTGCGCACGTGCCTCATAAAATACGTCAGCAATTATCACTAGCTGTCACGTGTTTACTTGTAGTCTTATAGTCGGTCTATGACCTCCAACCTTTTGATATACAATACAGTAAGTGCTATCCAAACAAACGAATTTGCTGACTTTGTATTTACCCCTTAACTGGGTCACAATTATATGCTCAAACGATAGATGAATAACACTTTATATATTACATTCATTGTTATATTCCAGTTTGATAAAACATTTGTTGAAACAAATGTTTCTAAAATAGTTAATATCGAGACAAGGTAATAATTATTATTCAAATTAATAAAAAAAATACATTATTTATTTTATTATTCATAAAAATTAGACTTTAGACATAACATGTAGTTTCAATAGCCAACGAGTACTCGAGGTCGAGGCTGTTAAATTAAGCTAGTCTTTAATTTTTCTGAATATTTTGGTTGGTGATTAGTCGTCGTTAACATTCAGTATTTCAGTGTATTATTGTACTCGGTATTCTGATTGGTAATTAAGGTGTGCAAGTTGAACAAAGTCATATACGCGGACTTGTACTTATCAATCTCATTGTGTTGCACACCTTGCATAACTCACATATATTGCCATAATCTGACATGAAAACACATTTACCGGGTTCAACGCACTCTCTATCTCTGGAGGTATGTATGGCTAGATTATTACTCATCCGACCATCTTATCTGTCATATGATTAAATGGATGGTTTAAACAGTACATTTGGCCCTCGTAATGAACAATGAAGAATGTAACACTTTTGTATGATCACAAATCATTCAAGCACAACATACGTACAATATTTTGCCAGTTTATCGTACAGAGTTGATTAAATTATTGCTCCTTGAAAATACAATTATGATGGATTAAATATGAAAAAGTGTCAACGTTTTATTAATAATGTTCTTCAAAGTTGGCACTACTCAATGATTAATTTTATGCTTTTACTATCATGTTCGATGTACGTAATTCCGTGACTTTCCGAGCCCGTTGGTAATCCTTATATTGTTGACTTTGAGATAGAATGTTGTTCTTTTTACCATGGTTTGGACATAGTAGACTAGGTCCCTTCATTCTTATATGATGAATCAAATCTCATCACTATTTACCGAGTTACTGTAATCTTTAAATCGATGCAGTTATTAAAACTATTAGTATAACTGTTTTCTTTGTAGCTTCTTATTTTATGAAGAAATGCAAGGTTTGTCTGACGGTGCTAGAATAGATGTGAAGGTAATAATAATACATGTCAATGTTTTATTTATAGTTATTTAACATGAATTGATATTTATAAGAATGCCATTACGTATTTTCTCTACGTTTCAGAAACTTGAACGTATCCATATGTTTGGCGAATTGACGTGGACTGGGTATCTGGAGGTAATGCATTATTATATACATTATTATATATATAATTTATCAGGAATGTATATATATATATATACAAATAACGCATATATTTAAAGATTTACCTCAATAACACACATATATTTTATATTGGTGTACGATATCAATTGACATGTCTTCAGCACAGATGGCCGTTTGTGAGATCGGGGTTTACTTTTCTGACTTGTAGACTGAATATTTCATTTGTGCAATTTACAAAGATAATCAATTATATAAGAAAACAATTTGATTACAGCCCGGTCCTCGGACGTCAGTTGCAGAAATACCATGGTAACATAACAGCGGAAAATACAATTCGAGATGTTGTCTGTATTGTTGGAGATCTTCATGTCGCTGTATAAGACTTAACGCGTAATTACATGTTTTTTGTGGCCAATGCCAGAAAGAACGGCGCATCGGGATCAGTGGTGGCGTATAGGTATACAGTACAATAACAGTTTTGTTGTCATCAATACTAATCTGATTCATAAATCAACCCAAAAACTCATAAACAAATGTATCAGTTACCCCCGAATTAAAGATGAATCGTCCGTAAAGTTGTTGCTGGTAGAAAGTAACTTCTTGCATTATGCAATGTACAGTAGAGATACACAATGAGTAGAAAACTATGAATAGTAAGTTTTATTTTAGTTACATGTATTTTGAACAATTAATAATGTATGATAAACACTGTATTGTTAGCAATGATTGTTAGAAATAAAACTTTAGATTATGCAAATAAAAACTTGCATGTCTTATTGATGTGCACCGAAACGATGTATTTGCTTATTAAAATTGGTATAACTGGCCTTTGTTATAATGCATAGACACTTACATATGATAACATGGCATGGGATAAATGATTATAAAAAACAAATGAATCTTCCTGCAACTCACTAATGCAACTAGCTTCAAATATCACAGTTATTCAGGCTCCCGACATTGACGATGAAATATGAGTAAATGTTGCCATATCTTGACAAGTACTCGCATATTCTTGTTTTCAGAGCATTTATTCGTCTGTCCATGACGACGCTGTTCAAAGAAGCCAAACGACAGATATAAATGCTTTGATACCATGGACCTACAATTCCTTGAAGTATACCATGTTTAAATAAATCATAATGTAATACAAAAACATCTTCAAGAATTGAAATCATTAATAATAAAAGATAATTGTGCATATAATAGTACCATTAGGTTAATAGAGTGGCATTGTCACGGTGACTAACTTTGCATGTTTTTTTTAAATAATTAATAAATCATACAGTCGAGCAAAAAATAACTTTTGAAAAATCA